CACGGGTAAGAGTATTTAAAAAAATATATGAGCAAGTCAGTCTTGAGCATCCTTCCGGGCTCAATGTTTCTATGCTTCTTACAACGAATGAGACTGAATGTACAATGTATCTTTGTGTCATTGTGATTCTTTCTGTCGGAGCACAGCCTGGTTCGTCAGAGCTGCTAGTTCTCCACCCAAATGCTTCCTGTAAAGTTCTCCGGAGAAACATCAAGAATCCCTTCTTGTGCCCTGAGAAGCCGTTTGAAAACCTCAGAATGGTTGGCCTCAGAGGTGTTTAATTTTGGGTGCAGGTCTTGGGTCTTGAACTCAGGGCCTGGGCATTATCCTTGAGGTTTTTGTTTTGTTTTGCTCCAGGTTAAGGCTCTTCCACCTGAATTACAGGGCCACTTCTGACTTTTTCCAAGTTGATGGGACATAAAGAGTTTTTCACAGGCTTTCCTACCCGGGCTAACTTTGAACCATAATCCTCTCATCTCAGTTTCCTAAGTAGTTAGGATTACAGGCGTGAGCCACCGACACCCGACTCCCAGAAGTCATTTTAATTAAGACACCGACTTTAACCTTTGAGTTAATTTTTCCCAACTTGGGAAGCTGGGAATGTGTGTTCTTAGGGACTTTGTCATAAGAAAGAGCTTGGCTTGACTTCCTGGGCCTAAAAGAAAAACGGTAGACTCTGTTTGTTACCTGTGTGGTTTGAAGCATTTTATTTAACACCTCCAATCTCTATTATTTACAAAATAGGGGAGAGGGAGGACCCTGCTTTAGTGTCACTTCCTTTATTGGATTGTTGCAAACAGCGGACAAGTTAAGGGCTGCTTTATTTGGGTTCCCCCAAAGTGACTTTGGACTCGAGTGGAAATGGTTCTTTGGGAAGGTGATGTCACAAAGCGGGGTGGAAGAGAGGGGGGATGTGAAGAGAAAAGAAAAGCCAGGAAGGACCACGCATGGACCAGTTACCATGGTGGACAATCTGAGCTGGAAATCACCACGAGGCCCCTGGAGCTGGTCTCTGGAAAGAGCCTCAGGATCGTGACAGCAGAGGGCCGCAGAGCAGAGGTCTGCCGGCTCGGGTCCTCTGTCGGCCCGGGGTGGGGTCTGGCTCTAGTTCACTGGCTGCCTATTGAGAATTACCGTGGAACACGCGGTAGCCTTCCCAAGGGGGAATTCTCCTGTGAGCCTAGACATTGGTGATGTAGTTCTATGTGCCTTTCTGTTTGCTAACTTCAAGAATGTTAACTTCGTGAATGCTGTCTGGTTGTATGTTTAGAATCAGCACGCCATAAAGCATGCACATGGTCAGCCAGAACCAAAAAAATGTGAAAAAGCAAAAAGAAAAAGGCTGTTGACATACACATCAGTTACTACAAAGCAAAACAAATACACAAGCCTAACCTTGGGATCCGAGAGAAATCAGAGCCCTTGAAGCGTTTCGAGTGAGCCAGGGATGGTAATTCTAAACGCTCAGCATTTTGCCATCATCTGAAGTATGAGCCGGCTCGTGTGGTCAGCAGGAGGGTGGAGTCTGCAGGTGTAGTACACACCTGTAATCCCAGCACTCAGAGAATCAAGGTAGGAGGATGGTGAGTTCTTCAGCCTGGGCTACCTAGTGGGTTCCAGGTAAGACCCTGACACTTAAGAAACAGAACAAAGCAATGAGTATGGATTCTGGGGTCCCAGGCTTGGCTCGAATTAAGTGCTGGCTCTGTACTAATCAACTTTGCGACTCCATCAAGACTGTTTTCAGTCTTGCCAGCTGCGTCCGCTTCCTCTTAGTACTGCGGGGATGGCGGTAAGGAAGTACCACATACAGCTCTCTGAGCAGCACACTGTCAGTGCAATAGAAATGTTTACTGCTGTGCTATTATTGACACCAATACTATTACCATCATCATGATAAGCATGTGGTTTTAGTGTGTGTGTGTGTGTGTGTGTGTGTGTGTGTGTGTGTGGTGTGTGCATGTATGTGTACAGACACTGGGGGCTTGAAGTCAGGGCTTCACACTCTTGCTCAGTTTCTTGCTTATAGCTGGCGCTGTGCTACTTGAACCATGCCTCCAGTGTAAGCATTTTTCTGCTTAATTGGAGGTTAAGTTGGGCTGCCTTTGAACCTCCATTTCCCATTCAGGTCTCAGCCTCTTGAGTAGCTAGGATTACAGGCATCAGCGAGCAGTACCTGGCTCGTTTGCTGTTGTTGTTTTGTTTTTTCTTTTGAGACAAGGTCTTACTATGTGACCCAAGCTATCCTTGAATTCACAAGCCTCTTGCCTGTTAGCTTGCGGGAATCTGATTTGACTTTTGAGCCAGGTTTTGCTGTGTCGGGTTCAACACTGGTGTTGAACTTGCCGTAGTAGCCTCGCCTGGCTTTGAACTCCTGCTGCTTCAATCCCCCAAGTGCTAGAATTACAAGGGTATGCCACTGTGCCTGGCTGATATTTTTCATATGTATCGTGTACCAATGATGTTTGGATGCCCTGTGGAATGGTTCCATTGAGTTGCTCACCCAACTACATGTCCTCTTAAAGCCTTGTCTCATCACCCTGGTTACCTCTCTCTCCATGGGGTCTTTAGGTGCCATTTAAGGCCGTCTTATCTTTTTTTTTTTTGATTAACCCATTCCTTGTTTCATCTCATGGCGATGTGCGTGAAGTAAATTCTGCCAGAGGAAATGATGCTATGCTGAATACTTTATTTATATATATATTTTTATGTAAACATAATTTTTGCTTTGTAGGCACAATATAACAAAAGCTCTGAAGCCACAAACACATTAGACGAGCTTTCAGTCCGACACCAAGAAAGCTAAACCCACAGAAAAGAGCCTGCAGTTCCTTTAAGGCAAACTGAGACTTTCCTTACACTTCCTTCAGCAGACAAGCAGGAGATAGGACAGAAGGAGGGAAGATGAGAAGGGGGAGGGGCGGCCCCCCTTGACCCCGCCCCCACACCTTCAAGGCAGAAACTACAGGTGGTGGTCATGCTCTAGTTTTCTTCGCCTGAATTTGGAGGACAGGAGAGGGTTAGCATTTAGCCAGTGGTTGTAACAGCTGAATACTGGGTTAACTCTGCTGATTTAAAATGAAAGACCAGATGTGGGGCCATGGTACTACAAAGTGTGTCCCTTCCTCCCTCTGGCCCCAGGGCCCTGGCTGCTCTTGAACTTGAAGAAATGGTGCTGATACTCTGCTCACCAGAAATAGCATTAGGACAGTGGCTCTTTGGGCCTCTCTTTAGGGAGAATGTTGACCAATAATACAATATATAACAAAGGTATTAGGGCAAAAGTATACGCTCTTATCTCTCGAGGTGACCCGGAAGTGGAATGTTAGTGTGTCCCTGGATGGAAGAGAAGAATGGTGGGTGTCCTCTTTGGATAATGCGCTCCTCTCCTTGGCTCACTGGCTGGCTCCATCTTTCTCCACATTCATATTGTATGCGTACATTCACAGTAAGAAGAAACTCCCTTCAGATACATATTTGGCATAAACAAGTCATGGTCACAAGGAAAGAAACAAAACCACAAGGACCCAAGGACTGTGCCCATGGAAGAGGTTCTTGCTGGAAATGCCGTCATTCCCGTCTCTTGGGGGAAGAGCCAGGTCTGCCCCTAAAGCCTGGTAGTGGAGAGACCGGGCAATGTAGGAACTTTCTCCTGTCTTCTGGAATGCAAAGGAAGAGTGTGTGTGCGTGCTAATCAGATGATGTGGGAACACTTTTCGGTCTTCCACAGAACCCAATAATAGGGTGCTGATTGTATGGATCCCTTGTATTTCTGGACTGATTTTCAAAGGAGGGAAGGAACCCTTGGCCACAGGGCTTGAGAGGCCTCCGTGTAGTGGCACTGAGATGGCTCCTCCCACAGGATAGCTCAATTCTCCTCCCAAGCCCAGTCACATGGAGTTTGGGGAGTTTTCTAGAAAAACTGAACAGGGTACAGGCCCAAGCAGTTGTGGTCCCTGATTTCCAAGAGCCTGCCAAATCCAGCACCATGGCTGTGCACACAGGCTGGGGAACCGCCTACTTGGCCTTGGATACCTGCCAGTCGCTTCTTGCAGCTTTGCGTTTGTGATACGTGGGGTCATGTTTTGGCAATATGAAAGATACTGAGTTTTTTTCTCCCCAAATGTAGTCCACAATGGAGTTCTTTCAAAGTGCTTTCTTTCTTTCCTTCCTTTTTCTTTCTTTTCTTTCCTTTCTCTTTCTATTTTCTCTCTTTCTTTCTTTCCTTCCTTCTTTCTTTCTTTTCTTCCTTTCCCTTCCCCTCCCTTCCTCCCTTCCTTTCTCTCTCGCTCTCTCTTTTGTGACAGTCCTGGGGCTTGAACTCAGGGCCTAGGTGCTATCCCTGACCTTTTTTTTTTTTACTCAAGGCTAGAGCTCTACCATTTGAGCCACCACACCACTTCTGGCTTCTTTTTGGTGTTTAATTGGAGATTAGAGTCTCACAGACTTTCCTCCCCAGATTGGTGTCAAACCACAATCCTCAGATCTCAGCCTCCTGAGTAGTTAGGATTATAGGCATGAACCACTGGCACCTGGCTTTCCAAGGGGTTTCTTGGCCACAAATGGAATAGGAAAACAGCTGGCCATGTTGCTGGCCAGTATGCAAACACAGGTGAGTTTCAGTAATGACTGGGAGTTAGTCCTAGCTGTAGTGAGATTATGTTTTAGGCTAAAATAAAATGCCTATGGCTGGGGGGCGGGGGGGGGGGATTTTGCTCAGGAGACCTAACTTCGTAGGAGGAATCAATGGCTGCCTTCCCACGTAGGCTGTTGTGACCCATCTTCCATCCTAAAAAAACATCCCACACCTGTTCCATGTGTCTGTGAATAAGAACCAGGAAAAGAACCCAAGACTGAAGGGCTAGTGAAGGGAGGCTCAAGTCTATGGCCTTAAGACAGTGGATGAATGTAAGAACATTGCCTCTGAGAGAGAGAGAGAGAGAGAGAGAGAGAGAGAGAGAGAAAGAGAGAGAGAGGGAGGGAGAGAGAGAGGAGAGATACTATGGGGATGTTTCCACACCCCAGGCATACCCTTTGGGCCTACTCTCTTGCTGCCAGAGGCTTGGCTGGCTGGTGGCTTACAGTGTCACTGGCCTGAAGAATATCAGGACCTGGATGACACACTGGGACCACACCTGGCCCCCTCCAGGCCTGGTCTTTCAGGCCTGTGGGGCTGGTGTTCATTTGCAAGGCTATTCTCGAACGTTCAAGAAGGACTCATAGACGGGTGGGTTTGATACAGGGCAGAAGGGAAGAGCATGTGATACACAGACAAAAGAGACATAATACTGCATGAAATGGGACTGGCACTTAATTCCCCCCCCCCAAAAAAAAGAAAAGAAAACAGAACAAAATACCACAACAGTGATCACTAAGTTCTTAGCTCGGCTGACTGCAGACAAACACGACACGCACTGGACTACAGCATTTGTTCACTGGGGCACGGAAGAGTTCTCGTAGCCATTCCTCATCCTTCATTGTTGTCCCGCAGGGGCCTGGCTCACTGGATGAAGGGCATCCGCTCTTTGTTTTCCCCGTCCCCTTCGTGGTCCTCCTCTTCCTCCCCTGCCTCGCTGGTCTCTGTGCTATCATTGGCCATCTGGAATTGAACAGAGGATGATATGGGAGACTCGTCTTCAATCATCTGATCCAGCTGGGCCCCTCTGTTTCCTGAGAGCGGGCAGTTCCGTAGGAGACAGAGGTTGTCACAAAAGGCCATCCAGGCAACGTTGCTCCAAACCTACTGAGCTGGTGGGAGACCCATTCCTGCAAAGCTTTGAGCTTCTGCTGTGTCCAATCAGATGCAAGCTCTAAAAATGACCTCACTGGATCTGTGCCTGATGCTCGACAGCCTGATTTTCTGAGCGTCCCTGTCTAGTCTAATGGGCCATCTAGAAGGGCCTCAGCTTCCTCCTCAAAACATAGAGACCCCAAGTCCTCATCCTCCATCCTCTTTTGTTCCCCTGGATCCCAAGGGTGGAAACTTTCCCCACAGACTCAGAAACAGATCTTGACAGAGGTCCTGAGCTCTCTGGACTTTTCAGCCTCTAAGGACCAATTCACGATCAGGCAAATTTCCAGCCATTTTGCTTAAGAATAATAAGTTGTCCAGAATGTCTCTACAGCCTGTCTGCCTTCTCTCAATGGTGCTGAATGAGACCTGAGCAGAAGGCTCATGGAATGGGGGCTCAGGACAGCAGAGACCCCAGCTCCATTTTCTTCCCTAACTTCATCCCCTCACTGGCCTGCCTTCAAACATTCCTGGCGCCTCCAGAACATTTTATAACCTGTATCCATGTTATTCCCACTCACCTGCCCAAGCATGCCATTGTCCTTCATTGAGTGAAATGGTTCTCAGACCTGAGCTCCATTGAGGTTATAAAAGCCAATGAAATATTTTTAAAAAATATACACCTGGTCTAAAACGTTTATACAGTTTTAGTTCTTCCTCTTGGAAGATGGATGCAGCTCTATGACTTGCATGCTAAACACACACACACACACACACACACACACACACACACACACACACACACACACCTTTTTTTTCCCCTCTTAGTATGAAGGGGTTTGAATTCAGGGCCTCACACTTGCTGAACCACACCTCCAGCCCTGTTTTTCACTGAGTAATTTTAGGAGAGGGAGCATTCAGGAAGCTGGCACACACAAGCATGCATTTCTGAGGACTTACGAGGAATTCTCCCATTGGCAACTGCCTAGATTTGTCATGTCCACTATCTTCTCCTGTCTGCTCACCTACTGCATTCACCTTTCCTTCAGAGCCTCCAAGGATCAGTCTATTTCTGGAATTATCTAACTACCCCCAGTGTCCTTCAAAAGCCCAGTAGCTAACCGCCCGTACTTCATTCTCCCCTAGTTGTGTTGTGTGTGTCCACATCTGACAGACCTTCCATGAATGAATTAGCTGAGTGGTCTCGTCTTGAAACTACACCTACCAGTGGAGTCGGGGTCTTTTCCACATCCAGAATTAACTTCCCAATATTTCCTCGGTCATGGATCCGTTGCATGGCTTCCTTCACCTGTGACACAGGGCCAGGAAGAAACTCAGATCAGGGAGAGACATCACTCAAGACAAAAAGGGGCCTTGGAAAACTCCAGCATCTTACTTTTCCACCAGAGGGCGCTGCAGCTCAAGCCTTGTGGCTAGAAAGTTTTGAGTGTTATGTGCAAATAAATTCTGTCATTCACACGCTCTGCTCTTGTGCAAGGCTCCTGTGTGTAAAGATGAAGGTTATAGCTTTTGCAATACTTCATGAAAATTTCTTTAAGGAAAGAGAGGGAAAAAAAGGCAAGAAGATTCTCCAGAGATCCCAAGAGTTACATGCCACAGGATGTCAGGGTACGTCCATCAGGGTAAATTTTAGGCAATGAAAGTATTTTTGATGGCCATTTGGAACACAATTACTTAAATGTTATATATCTCAGATTCAGGTTTTAGCTTAAATAAACCCATTACCCAGGGCTGACCCCCATTTAGAAAAATCCCCATGGTTCTTACTTACTGGGAAGAAACTCTGTCCCCACCTTGCAGAAGTTCTCTTCAGAATTATTATTATTGTTTTTCCTTTGTGACACTAGGGGCTTCTCAGACCAGGCATGTCTCCTGCAATGCATGACACAACCCAATGGCGTCTAGGCATGGTGTTCTGTTGCTAAGTAGAAAATGAGCTGCAGGGGGCGCTGTGGGAACTAACAGAGAGAAGCTGGTGGGTGTGATCTCCACATCGTGGTAAAATCTAGATAGGATGCAGTGTCCCTTTATTTATTTATTTTTATCATAATACGTCTAACTTAAATTATTTTTTCTTACAGTCTCACATTTGAAAATATTTTTCTTCATTTATTCACTCCAGAGATATCCAGTAAATGTCACTGCTAGGCTCAATGCCATGATTTAAAATAATAAATAATACACAAGCCCTGTCTTTGAAGAGCTCAGCCTGTGGCGATGGAGCTGCATTTGCTTATATGAAAACCAAAGGCTTCTTTCTACTCATTTCAATATAAACTTGACAGAGCCATTAAAATGCTTTGTATTTCAATTGCTTTTCTGGGACTTCATTATAAAGACCTAATTTAATTTATGGGCAAGAAAAGAAGGCCGCATAAAAGGTACTCAATCACAGCCTTGTTTTTTTCATGGCAAAACATTGAAACAATTCATATGTCACGGCGTGAGTGGATGGTTAAGTAAACAGTGGCTCTTACGTTTATCATGGAATGGAAATGTGATGTGTCTCTTGAACAATGGAAAGATCTATGCTGCTAACTGTAAACAAACATGGAAGGATTAAGGGGGAAAAACCACACACCACATCACTCTTAAAAAAAAAAAACTATGGGTTTTCTTTTAGACATAGAGAATGATAACTTTTAAATCAGGTGTCCAAATATTGATATTTGGTCATGCGGAACCAAATCAATCTTGACTATGCATGAAAAGCATCTTTAAATGCATTTTCTTCTGGGAGTTTAGTTTGTTTGTTCTGTCCTTTTGTTTTTATTACAGAGGCAAGGTCACACGGTGTAGTCTGTGAACCGCAATCCTCCTGCTTTCTACTCTGGGGAGCTAGAAGAGGCAGCATTGCTTTTTGAAGTGTTTCCTTACTTGCTTCCACCTCGATCTCTGAGTATCTGTGGGGACTGGCTCCAGAGCTGTGTCTGGAGGCTCCCTGTTCTAAAGTGGTGCAATGTGTATTTTGCATGTCACCTGCACACATTTGCCTTTCAATTTTGTCATCTCTGTCTTGCTCCTGGTGCCTAATGCAGTATGATGCTATGCTATTCTATGGTATAGGGAATAATGACAAGAAACAAAAAGCCTGTCCATGGTCAGGATTTTGTTCCTGAGCATGTTTGCTTTTTGCTGAGGTTGCTTCATTCCTCAGGAGTGGGACCTGAGATGAACAGGGCTGAGTGGGCATCACTCACAAACTGCTAGCTTGGCTTCCAGTGCCCCCCCCCACTTCCTGGAACATAGGTTAGTGTGGGAACTTCTCTCGTTAAGCATAGGCTGGACCTAAAGATTTATGTCTAACCCACAGAACACAGCAAAAGAAATGGGATCTTTCTTCTCAGGTTTACAGGTTCCCAAGCTTACAAAACAAAAAGACCCTGACTTCCATCTTGCAGCTGCTCTTACTCTGACTCTTCTCATTTTCTCCCTGTGGTGAGACACACAGCCTTCTTGTGAGCTGCCCCGTGGAGAGGTCCACACGGTAAGGAGCCAAGGGAAGACTCCGGCCAGCCCACAGCCTGGAGAAGGAACAATCGGAGCATGTGTATAACCAGACCCATCTCCAGTCAGGCCTGCAGAGGAGGCCAAGCCACTATTATTTTTTGGGGGGAGGGGGGAGTGGATTCAGTAATGGAAATTTAACCAAGTTTTCAACCTTACACACCAATACTTCTCATCTTGTAAGATATACATGAATATCTAATTTATTTAAGTACCTGGATGCTGAGGGGAAAAAAATAAAAGCAAATTTGCCAAAGATGACATGGTCACCAGTAATCGAACTGTGGTTCAGTACCAGGCTGGTTAGACCTCCAACACAACATCCTTCTATCATTCCTGCCCAGTCTGAAATTTCCAGTGAACCCCTAAAAGCAGAAGAAAGGGCGTAGATAATATCCCACATGATGATTTTTCCAGGATTTAGTTGTTTGTCACTCTGGAAAGTCATTAAACACTTGGAAACTCCACGGAAGATGAACAATACTTTTAAAGCTGTTTCTCAAATAAGATAGAGCTCAGGAACATGGAAAAGCTGTTTTGTCGTTAAAAGCTTATTGTGATGCTAGGGAAAAAATAAAAAGGTCCCCAACAGGGCAGGGCTGGTCCCGCAACAGGACATTAGTTAGTCATTGCTTTCTGAAATTAACTGACTCCTTGAAATTTCCCACGTGAACAAAGATGGAGAAAAGGTTAGAAGGCCTGCTATGGGACAGTCTGTCTGACTGTTACTCAGGCTGTTAGAATGTGCATTCTCGCTTTTAAGCTTGCTCTTGTAGAGATGGCAACTCCGAAGGACAGAAACTACCAAATCTGATCCGTGTTTCGTTGTTGTTTTTCTTAATGAGGCGTCCCGGGCAGCAGTTTATGGCCATTGCTATTTTATCTGTGCACAGAGCCTCTCAGGTGAACATCAGCATCAGTTTTTCACAGATGAGAATCACAAAGACAAAACATCTCAGGACTGCCCTGGCTGGTGTTCAAAAGATGCCGTAGTAGTAGGAAATGCAAGGGTTGCCTTGCTTTCTCAGGAGTCTAGACACAATTCCAGAACAGCTTCCACTAGCCACACCAGCTACCCTTTACTTATACCCTGGCAAGGTAAAAATCTGCAGAGACGTTGCTTCTATTACCAACCAGGGACAGAAGTGATGGCCTAGAGCACACTGGTACCAGGGAGGCCTCCTCCCTGTAGCACCTCTCTGCTTAAAACCAAGTGTCCTTGTATCCAAGAGAAGCATCTGGTTCCTTGTATCCAACAGAAGTATCTGGTCCACCTGCACTGTTAAAACTACGTGTCACTGCATCCAAGAGAAACATCTGGTCTACCTGCCTTGCCAGATACAGCAGCTGCTAGTCACCTGTGATCTGAAGTATGGTGGCTATAAATACCAATGCTCTGTCAGCACTGAAGACAATGCCAGATGCAATATCATGGTGGGTACTTGTGTCTGAACTCTGGGCTTTGCCCTTGGCTGGACAGGTACTCTGCTGCTTGAGCTAGAGTTTCAGCCTTGATAGTCATAATACAGAATGCAAGCTTAGCTTGGTAAGACTTGGGGAGCAATGATGAATTGTAGAAAGGATGTTATACTTAATTTACTTAATTCCTCAGGTGTTTTTTTTTAATGTGGTTACCTATTCAAAACTTGGAACACGGCTGTGTCATGGACAGTGTGGGGTGGACATGTCAAGGCTGATATCTGTGGTTTTTGTGGGTTTCCTTCTCCCCCTCATCTCTGACTGTCCCCACTGCTCAAGATGTGTGTCTGAAGCTCACTGGACCTTTACCTGTACCCAAGGGCTCATCCTAGTGGAAAGCATTCCACAATGTAAAAGAGAAATGTCCGGAAGGGAGTGAACAGGCTTGGGATGAAGAACACATACTGACAGACTGCAGAGCTCCTGTCTCCTATAATTTGTTTGTTTGCTTATTTATGTATTGTGCCAGTAGTGGGATTTTAGCTCAGGGCCCAAATACTATCCCTTAGTATTTTCACTCCAAGCTGGTATTCTACCACTTGAGCCACACCCTTACTTCTTAGCTTTTGGGTGGGTATTAGATCTATGAGTCTCATGGACTTTCCTCCTTGGGGCTTGCTTTCAACTGTGTCTCTCAGATCTCAGCTTACTGCATAGCTAGGATCTCAGGCATGAGCCCCCAGCACCCAGCTTCCAAAAAAAAGCCCAAAAGACTCTTGTTCCCCAAGCTCATCCTCTCCTGCAAAACTGTTCTGGCTGCTTCCTGGTTAAGGAGCGACCTTATCACAGAGGCTGCAGCCTCCTAATCGAGATGCTCAGGATAATCTATAAAGTATTTCACTGTGTGCAGCTAGACTTATTAATGCAGACTTCCCGGTTTGTTTATTTAGCCCCAATGCTTTAAGCTAGCATAGTTCATCTTGTGTCACTGGTTCATGCTCTTGATTAAGTCTGGTGCTGGTGTTCAATACTCAGAACACTACCCACGGGGAAAACTTAATTGGCTCATACTCTGTAAGTGCAGGAACAGTAGTTCTGGTCAAGCTTATTCAGTCTGCAACAGCTATGTGAGACGTGGTGCTTGGGGCCTGGAGGAGGATGGGGGAGGTGGTCCTGGGCTATGCCCTGGATGTTCTGGGTTCCTCTGGGAATAATGCTCTCCTCCTTGGAACTTTCTGTCTAGTCCTCTAGGGACTGTATGTACTTGTACCCTTGTCACATGGTTTCAAATTGGATTTGGCCACCGAGATAATCAGAACATAGGAAAGGAAGAGTCAGGTCTTTCCTTCATCCCCACTAGGA